TGTTACACCTGATATATATATATATATATATATATATATATATATATATATATATATATATATAATTTTCTAAATATCGTGCACATCTCTTACATGTATACAGGTTGTCCACAAAGTTATTAGACAAATAGAAAAAAATTATTAAAATTACAACGGAAAACTGGATACTGTTGAAATGTTTACATGATATGAAGTAAATAGGGAAATTTATATAAAATATTTCTATATGGGCCCCATTCGTTGCACGAAGGACATCTAAGTGAAGAACATCGAAAAGAATATTATAATTATATATTAATTAGCAGCACAAATTCAGTTTCCAACTCTTCGAAGTTTTTAGTAATGACTTTTTGAAATTGCCTAAAGACGTTGTGGACACTCACTTTATATATATATATATCTATCTACTATAAATATATCTATCTATCTATCTATCTATCTATATATATATATATATATATATATATATACATATTTCCGATCTAAGCGTGTGACGCCGTTGGGAAGTACCTGTAAGTCAAATCACTTGCTTTGACAGTGCAAGACGCAAGTCTGGATTGACGTGAAGATGAGCCTACTGTTTATTTCTCAATTTGCATATTTTCAAAAACTCTACTATCGCACCCGCTCGAAAACAGGAGTAGAACATTGACCGTCTTTTGTAGCGGTTTTGGATCCATAACACCTTTTGTAATGAAAGTGTACAATTAGTTTCATGTCGTAATGTACTCCATTCTTTCTTCTTAAAAATAGCATGAAGACATCGATAATAAAATTCCCTTTTATACAATTTTTTTTTCTCTTTCGTCAGGTATCGATTTCGCGCAGAAAACTTCGGGCTATACCTAGTGCGACTTCCTTAAACAACAAATCAATAGTTGTGCTGGTACTAAATCACAAGTCATCGTGACCGAGGGTTTGATCGTACTGACCTTGTTCAACTGTTAATTACGCCAATTTATGCGCCCTCTCTCAGAAATTCTAACTAAATTCTTCTCAGTATACTTGCAGCATACATTACAGACTGTCTCTGTGAGTGTTAGAAATGTGTTTGAGCAGGCACCTGCAACAGGGATTAGCTAACCCCTATTTCGTCAGACTGCATACTGGGAAATGAATAGTCAGCCATTAAGTGTATAAACCCAAAATAAGTGTTGTGGCAACAATACTCATATCACATATGTTGTGGTAGGATCCACCTAATTTGCATAGTGGAGTACCGACCATATGAATATGGTTGGTACCGGGAAAAGAGTGGGGAATCAAGAGATTCAACCCGAGACTCTGCCCGAGTGCGACTCAGTCAACACATTCTCCATGAACGGTCTTACCAGGAATATACAAAAGACTATATGTAAATGTTGTGTACACTTTCTTGTTTCAATACATTTTGTTCTAAGTACTTTTTGTGTTGCATTATTATTCCATGCATTAGTCAAATTTCAACAACATATTAATACACTACTACAGTAAAGGCATGAACTCATGCATGCTTATGATAGTATTAAACGCGGAAGTGTAGGGAATGTGTTTTCACCTTTTCATTCTTTCGTTGTCTATGATTTTCATCAATAATCTTCCTGATAGCATCAATTCTCAACTCAGTATCTTTACTGATGACACAACTATTTATCCCTGTCTTAATAGTAAATCTAACGGTTTCGGTAAAGACAAATAGGCAGCTGATCTAAAAAAAAAAAAATCTAAATTCTGTTGTTAACTGGGGCAAGGAATGACTTGCTGATTTTAACGCCTCCAAAACGAAACTGCTCGCTTTTAATCGTCTCAAAGAACTCTTTTTACGTTCAATCAGAAAGGTGGGTGCTAACCCCCAGAAGAGTGACTCGTTGCGCCATCTCAGACTAACGTTTTCCGCTTACATGAAGTGGAAAGATTATATTGAATCAATTTCTAGTTTTGCCGCAAGGAAAGCTGTAGCCCTGTCTTGTGCTAGACATTTTTCTCGCCGAAATCTATCTTATATATTCATAAGTCTACCATTCGTCCTTGCTTTGAATATTGCTACTACATCTGGTCTGGTACTACTGCTATGGGAGGGAGGGGGAAGAAATATTCGTACACCATGATTTTTTATTTAACACAGATGTTTTAAAAGAATTTTATAATCCATACAATATTTGTATACCATGGCATAATGCTTCAATATGCAAAAAGAATCAGAAAAAAAAATGTACATTAATGAAATTATATGAAATTAAAAAAAATTGGAGGCGAAAAGTATTCGTACACAATTATAATACCTATTTAGTACTTGGTAGCATATCGCTTACTCAATTCAATAGCAACAGAATTTCATTGCTTATTGTTCGCTTCGTAACCATAAAACCTGATACTTTTAATTCTTCCTGTATTTCTCTTCGATTTGTCATTTGATTTTCTTGAATTTTGCCCTGAATTCTTCTCACTGATCTCGGAGAAATCTTGCGTCGTGCACCAGATCTCGATTTTTTCTCAATAGTTTTCATCTTTTTATACTTAAGCAATAACGGAACTAATATATATAATGGTATATTCAGGATATCTGCTATTTTCTATAGCTTTTGCGTTCTTTCCAATGTTTGATGATCGATTCTTTTTGTGAATTTGATAGTTCCTTGTCTTTCCCCATGATGATAATTATTCTGTATAATTTGTGTACGGAAATAACCTTATATAAGAAATGAAATTGCGGAAATATTCTAGATAGTTCCGGTAATAAGATAATTGGAAGAATGTAGCAAAATCTTAAAAAGAATTATGCAAATAAATTTTGATATTTTGATATTAAAGACATATTTTGTACCAATATTTTTTGCCTCGAACAAAGTTTTTGAATTGTTTTTTTTTTCTTTTTTTTTTTTTGCATATTGTAGCATTGTGCAATGGTATAGAATATTGTATAAATTTTAAGATTTTCCATAAGTTATAATTATGATAATTAAAAAAAAATTCATGGTGTACGATTATTTATTCCCCACCCCCTGTATATATTTAGAGATTCTTGATAAAACACAAAGAAAAAAACACGAAATGCTATTAGTTCAGACCTGACATCTCAGCTTCAATCACTTCCCATCGCCGTAATGTAGCTTCTTTGTGAGTTTTTATATAACTACTTTCATGGTAATTGTTGTGATAGACTTTCCTTTATGGTATCAAACCTTTAATGAATTTAAACGCAGTACTAGATTGGCGGCTAGGTTTCATCATTTTACTTTTCAAATGGCTAGATGTAATCGTAATTTCTATGCTAACAGATTCTTTCATTACACTTCCCACTTGTGGAACTCTCTTCCGGTTTTCTTGCTTCCCAGTCAAATTTGATTTTCAAATATTGAAATGCAGTCTCAGTCATTATCTTCAGTATGCTTAATTCTGGTTCTTTTATTGTTCTCTCGCCTTAACAGTAATTTTTTGTCTCATATTCTCTAACACTTAGCAAAGCCTTGCGTCTTATTAGCTTTATTGCCTTCCTTGGGGTAAAAAGATTAAAAAAATATTGTGTTTGAAAACCCAACGGTACTAATGTTACGATAATGTCCCATGGTAATTACTCATAAATTACCTTTTCATTTTGTGCGAGATTTTATTTCAAACATAAATCGAACTTAAATATCAATACTGAATTTGTTTGTTTGTTTGTTTTGTTTTACGGTATATCAACCTCAATGGGTTATTTAATGCCGACAAAAATTTTATTGCTGGTAATGTTTTTCTTCAAAAATCTATTTCTGGGAATATTTTTCTTTAAAGAAAGCTGGTTATATTTTTTCGAAAGAATATATAGCTGTTTGTATTGCTGGTTTTTTTTAAAGTGTTGCTGATAATAATTTTTCCTTCAAAAATTATTGCTGGTAATAATTCTTTTTTATTACAAAGTATTTCTGGCATTAAAACCTCTTTTTACACAAGTTTTATTTTTTTTGTTTTACGGCATATGAACTACAATGGGTTATTTAATGCCGACAAAATGTATAGCTGGTAATTTTTTCAGAAATGCATAGCTGGTAATAATTTTTTTAAAAAATGTATAGTTTGGTTTCTTTTGTGGCATATTAACCTCATTGCTAACAAGATTTTTATTTCTGGTAATATTTTCTTTTTTCAAATCTTAATACTAATTTTTTAAAAAGTATTTCTGGTATTAAAATCTATTTTTACACTTTCATAGTGTTTTCAGTCAGGTTGTGGGGTCAGCTATTTGCCCGTAGCTGGGACCCTAACAGGTGCTACCACCCCGGGTTAGGGTGGAACTGGGTTTACCAGCAATTAAGAGGTGGTTGCACGCTCACCAAAACCTTCTGATCAGAGGCCTTGCTGCTGGACGTAGTTTATCGTTATACCCAGGACAGCAATACTGAATTTGGTATAAATAACTAATACATGGGGATTCAACGGCACTCTTCGTTAGCCTCGTTTTAAAAATTTCTTTTTGCAATAATCTTCACTCTGCATAAGGCCCGAAAGCCATTCAAGATGAAGTGTTACAGAGTATGCGGTACGGGGCACAGTTTATGAGAATATGTAGGGAAGATAACGACTTTGGGTACAAAACATGCCATTCAAAGCCGACTGAAGTTTTGCCAGACGGAATCACAGCTCATGTTGTGAATTCATGCCAATTGCAGAGATGGCAGATTCAGGTTGACAAGCAAAGCTAAATTCTTGACACAGGAAATGTGGTTCTGAGGCATATCGGGTCACGGCCTTATTTTCTAATTAAAGTTTACAAACCAGATGGGGCCAGAAAATATCGCGCTTTGATCGGAAGAAGGGTCAAAAAGGCACTTGGGTATGTAAGTCATGCGTTTGTGCCACATGTTTGTATATTAGGCTAGCTATATGTTTGCATGATATGCTTACGTGCGTATGAGAATAAACTATCTAATGCATATATTTATTCATTAGTGTGTCTGTGTATGAATTGTGTATCTGCTCATTTTTGTTACGTCCTGTTTTTGATGATACTTGTTTACTACATTAGCATCGTTTTAGTTTAGGTCTTCAACTTCTTTCCATTTTCCACTTTTCTTTCTTGTTTCTTTTTCTTCTACTTCTTCATTCATTCTCTCCGTTTCTCCTTCTGCTTTCTCTTTTTGTTCTCCTCCTTTCATTCGCCCTGTCTTCCCCCCTCTTTCTCCTCCTCCTTCTTCTTCTTCTTCCTCCGCTTCATCCTTCTTCTTCGTTCCCTCTGCTTGTTCTTCTTTCTATTCCTCCTCCTCCTGTTCTTCCTTCTTCTTCAAATTCAATTATATTTAGAAACATTTCTTATTGCTTCTTTCTCGTCTTTTTCCATCGTTTTTCATTCTTCAGTTTCTTTTTCTTCTTTTGATTTATAGTTTCTATTTCATCAGTTTGTTCACACTCCTTCCCCCTCCTTCTCCTCCTTCTTCTTCTTTCACTCTTCCTGTTCTTCCTCCTCCGCCTTTTCCTTCTACTTTAACATTCATTTTATTTTTATTTTTTTCAATCTTTCTTTCTCTTATTTTCTTCTTTTGTTGTTCTTCAATTTCTTTTTCTTCCTTTCGATTTATAATTTCTTTTTCATTAGTTTGTTCATAGTCCTTCCCCTGTTCCCCCTCCCCTTCGTCCTCTTCATTCTCTTCTTCTTCTTCTTTAACATTAATTTCATTTGTTTTATTCCCATTTTCTTTCGCAGGGTTTTATTTCCTTCATTATTCATTTTCCGCCATCTTCTTCGTATCGATTTTAAGTTTCCTTTCATTCAATTTCTTTGTATTCCTTCTCCTCCTCCTACTTCCCTTATTCTTGTAACGCTTGTGTGTATTTCTTCTTCTTCTTCCCTTTCATATCACCTCTTCTTCTTCTTCACTTTCTTTAAGATAATTTTCATTTGTTTTTTCCCACATTTTCTTTCTGAGTGTTTTATTTCCTTCATTATTCATTTTCCGCCATCTTCTTCCTATCATTCTTATTTTTCTTTTATTCAATTTCTTTGTATTCATTCTCCTTCTCCTCCTTCCCTTATTCTTGTAGCGCTTGTGGGTCATTCTTGTTCTTGTTCTCTTTTATACCTCTTGTCGTCGTCGTCGTCGTCGTCGTTGTTGTTGTTGTTCCTGTTCTTCTTCTTCTTCCAAACTACCATCAACACAATTGTCCTTTGCATCTTTTCTTCATCATTTATTCCTTTTCATTATTTTTCTTCTCGACGTCGGTTATATTGTTGCAGTTCTTTATTTGCATATTTTCTGTCTTTCTTTCTTCTTTTTTTTATCGTTCTCTTTTATGTGTCATGTCCCTTAAGGACGTATGTGATTATGGCTCTTCAAAACTCCATGTCTTTTATTGCTCTAAAAGAAGAGATATTTTTTCTCAGCTATCGATGCACAATTTAAGGTAAAAAAAAAACAAAACCTCTCATGTTTTCTATTGAAATCTCTTTTCTTTCACTAACTGAACTTCATTGTAATCATTTTACTCTTGCAGAAAACTTAAGAAAAAACGTTTTCATAAAATAGATAAATTAAGTAATAGCAGCAGTAGTAGTATTCCCTTTCTGCTTAACTTTAATTTCTACCCAATGAACTCTTGCTTCTACTACTTGTTTTTTTTTCTTCCAAAAGCAAAACGTCTTCATCTATAGGCCGTGTTCCTTCATGGCTCTACATAACTTTCAATCCATTGTAGCTCTTTGTAGCTATCACTCCAATGACCTTTTCCGCTATTCATTCACCTAAGTTCACCAGTTAGGTGATCCCTATCTCCCCTGTCCTTTCTGCCTTCGACATGTTCTGGGAGTATCAAAGTCTCCAAATCCTCATTCCTCATTATCTGTACAAAAGTTTTCAGTAGTAATAACGGGAAAATTGCAATATGAGCACTGGTAAAAATGGTTGCTAAGACATTAGGTTTATAAGTCTCAAAAATTCATACAGAGATGACCTCAAGGACACATCGCCAAGTGGGTAAAGATGTTGGTTAGATCCAATGACTAGTCCCAAAGAGTTGTGCTTTTAATACCAGGCCACATCAGTGCTGAACCAAACTTGAAGTGTTGAGTTAAAGAGAAATAACTATGACACCCGGAAGAGGCATGGCACGTAGAACTAGAAAAATCTACCCCGGCGAACGAAATAAAGGGTTTGGGTCGAAATTTCAATCACCCGAAGAAGGTCGGAGCGTACAACGTTATGAATATGGCAATGAAGATGAGGATAACAGTCCGAATAATGTAATAATAATAATGTAAGTAATTATAATATCCCATCCCAGAGATGTAGACAGATATTTAAAGATTTCAGCTGTCGCTTTCTATATCTGAATATGTTCCTTTTATTTTCCATTCCCCTTAAGACTTTGCTTACTCGCTCCGACTATGGAATTCTACGCATCCTGCTTCTGTTTCTCCAGTTTTGTCTTCATCTCTGAGGAAACTGTTCAGTATTCATTACTTATTTATTCGGTCGACATTCATGAATCTATCACGCCAACTATCACGGTCCTGCATCAAGGCCAGAAGAACATTAGGATAGCATTATTAACACTGTAGGCTGGGCGACCAACCCGTCTTACGCCGTGGCAAGGTGTCCAGAGCAGTAAATCACTTGCAAGTCCTTGTTCTGTTCGCCAGGATCATACCGGGTGTAGCAGAAAAAATTGTCCAAATTGTGCAAAAGCAAAATTGTTCATTTTTTAGATTAAGCTTTGAATCATAGTAGCTTAAAAATGATTAAAGTTATCTTACTGGTATTCTTCAAGGTTTTTATAACAGTACTGAACTTTACTTTGAGCAATAATTACTCTCTAAGCTTAACAGAAGACTCGTGATTAAATAGATCAGAAACGAAAATGACATGTTCATCATTAATTAATCATAGCTATGCATCGTAAGCTCATTAATGATTGAAAAAAAAGTTCAAATATATATATCACATTCCAAGATCATTTTCCAACTTACTCAAGATGATCTTCGTCCTCTCAAACCTTCTATATTTCTGTCCTTGTATAACAAGATACCTTACAGGTTTCACGTACGATTTCATTTTCTAGTATTTTTCACTGCTCTTTGGACTGTCATAGCTGAAACTTCTCTCTAACGTGCCAAACGTCTTATGGATTGAGTTGGATTTTTTCTAATTGATCTCTTTAGGTCTACACTTAAATGATGATCCCTTTACCTGTTGGGACCTCCTGATCCAGTTTTCCTCTGTACTGTTCCATCTTTGTTAAACTTATTCAGCGTTCTATTGATGGTCATTGAATGGACTTTGAAGATGGAAGCCAGAGTGTGAATGTTGGTAGCAGTACTGAAGTTTTGAGCGATCTTTTTCCTCCCTCCCTTGTTCATTTGGCTAGACAGTGGGGTTGAGACAAAACGGTTTTAACCTGTTTTATTTCTAGCTGAATAACTCAAAGAGCTTTTCATTGATTCTTACGACAAATGATATCAAGATGGCTAAACTTCTTATCTGAAAATCTAGTGAAAAGAAACTCAATTAGTTTCCTTTACTTTTTTTTTTTTTAATATTAAGCATTTTGTGAGCAAGACAATTATGCTGTTACACATTTTGAGTAAATTTGCTGTTAAACCTGGTATAGGATAATTTATACTACATATCGAACCAACAATGTCGTCTTTGTCTCGAACAAAACGTTCCTGTTTCTTAGTGTAGATTGTTTCATTAAGACGAATCATATATAAGGGTGTTTCATTAAGACGGATCAAAGTCAGCAGTAAATTTATCAGTGTTATTGGTGAAAATGTATTTATTTCTCTATTGGATCATGATATTTAAGTCATGGCAATAATGTGTGCAAAATAATATCGCTCATATCAAATCTGAAAGAAAAAGAAAAATCATTAGACGCTTAAACTTAATACACATTTAAAATTGGTCCAAGTTATTGAACACTCTTTATAATAGCCTAAGCTAGATTATACCTAAGAGAGACTAATATATATTCCTCCGATCCTAGAAAATACCTATCTTGGACTAGAATATACCCCTCCTTTGCTAGAATATACACCTACTGGGATATAATATACCCTCCTAGGAAAGGATAGATACCTCTTTAGTTGGGATATACCCCCACCATCCTACAATGTACATAAATATATGCTAGAATGTACACTTACTAGGTTAGAATATATTTCACCTGAACACGAATATACCTCTCCTAGATAATAATAGACAGCCGATGAATTGTAATATACACCTAACCTAGAATATACCTCTCCTAAACAAAAATGAACATATGCTTAGCTGGAATATACACCTAATATACTAGAATATACCCTTCCTATGCTAGAATTTACCCTACCTAGGCAAGAATATACTTTTCCTAAGATGGAATATACAAATTATATAAATTATAGGCTAGAATAGACATTAGACGCTTAAACTTAATTCACATTTAAAATCGGTCCAAGTTATTGGAACATCCTTTATTTTGCTTAGTTTTTTAAATGCCTTTTTTTCTATTGCAATGAACGTTCGAATTTCGGTGTCACATTTTTTTTCATTCTCTGCTTACAATATTTAAACTTCTATACAAGTCTGCTCTTGACATTTCCAATTCGTCGTTTTGGTCTTTTTTCTCTGGTAACCATCCTTTCTGTTTTCTTATAATTGATGATTACTCCTTTCTTCTCGTTTTTCTTTTCTACCTTTTCTTGAAGTTTTTCTATAGTTTTCCTTCTATGACAGCCATCAACATACTGTCATTTACGTATGACATATTGATATGAATGCACCCACCGATAGTAATTCTTGGTATGGTCACCAACTCCCTCGGGATAGTCTCGCTGTTGAAGGTGAATATATATTATAAAAGGTGGTTAACGTAAGAGTTTCGCTAAACATTACTAGTAAGTTTCTTGTTCATTGAATGCTTTCTGAAACGATAGGTATTAATTCTAAATTAATCCTCCGTATTCAAACTATTCTCGTTACCTATTGATTTCATCTACAGGGGATTTCATTTGTTCTTATTCTTCCTTTATATGCCATGTCTTTCTAGAATCTAGGCGATCATAACTCTCAATAACGTCATTGTTTAGTTTTGCGCTAAGTAAAATCTTCGCTATAATCAAGTGCTGAAGTGTTACGTGATATCTGTCTTCCTTTATGGCAACGAGTGCTGGACGGTCTCCTCAAGGATGAAGAAGAGACTTGAAGTAACAGAAATGTGGTCCTGCATAAGGATGCTGAGGATACTGTGGACCAGGAAGCAACAAGGAAGTTTTAGAGAAAATGGAAACAAAAAGGCAAAAAAAAAAAAAAAAAAAAAAGTCAGCTGACGTTGCTAGGGTACATAATGAGGAAAGACAGTTTGGAAAATCTGATACTCACGGAAGAGATTGAAGACAAAGAGACAGAGAAAAAACTACGCATGGCATACTTAGTGAGGATAGTGAAAGAAAGTTTATGAGAAGTAAAAGAAAGACAATGTTTATTAAGAGCTACAAGGGGCAGGAAGTTTTGGAGAGCTATGATCGCCAACGTCCTGAGTGGACACGGCACATAAAGAGGAAGAATGTTTTTTTCCCTATCTGATCCGAAAATACCAAATTAACACACGAAAGCCAAATGCGTTGTCGCTGTGTCTCCTTTCTCCACCTCTTTTCGGATTCTATATCCTACTAATACTCATCAATTTCTTTGTTTTTCTCGCCGTTTTCAAAACTTTTTATTTACTCACATTGTATTCTCAGCATTCGTCTATGGAACCACATCTTTTAGCTTCAACGATGAGATTGTCCAGCATTTACTACCATATAGTATATATATACTATTATCCTCATCTTTGTCGCTAAATTTATTAGAACGTTTCGGCTATTGTACGATCCGGACTTCTTCAAGTGGTTGGAATGTCGAACTGAACCCATCATTTCGTGCCATGTCTAATGGATGTCAGTTATCAATTCCCTAAGTTCTTGAACTCACACACTTTGGGTCCTGTCACTGGATCTAACCAACGCCTTTATCCACTGTGCCATGTGTCCTTGAGTACATCTGTGAATAAATTTCTGGGTATTATAAACCTAATGCCTTCAGCAACCACTTTTACCAGTGCTCATATTGCAATTTTTGCTGTTATCATTGCATGTTTTTTGCTATTATTGCTTTTCTCTGGAACTCCTTATTACTGGTTCCCATATTGTATTCATTTCTATGGCGACAAAGATGACGTCAATAGTCCAAACAATTCAAA